AGAAGAACAGAAGTCAAATTTGTACCTGCACATGAGATCACAAGGCAAGGCAGGGTGCCTGGGGTGGGAGCCAGCCTCGCTAGTTCTCTGAGTTCTACACAGCTCCCTCCTGAGGGCTGTGCACCAAACCTCCCCCTTTCCCGGCTCTTTCCCTGATGAACACTGACACAGTCGAGGCCAGGACCCCAGCTCTGTACTGTGCAGCCTCTGCCACTCTTCTTATAACCTGGCCAGAGCCCTGTGTTTCTGACCTTTATAACTGCTTGCTGTTATAAGCCTGATATATCTTAATTTATTGTCTGTTGATGTGGGTTGATCAAATCATTCCCCAGCTCCCCCTTTTCCAATTCTTCCCCTGTTCCCACCACTTTTCCTACCTAAAGAATGGCATACTGTGAGCTCCAGGTACCAAGTGGTTAGTATTATTACATACTCTTACAGCCATATGAGGAATAAATGAAGTATTGGCTAGCCAATGTATATCTGATATTCAGAAAGCTTTTGAAACATAAAAGTCATCATACTCCCACGCATGCGCCCAGATACAGTCCTACAGATACAGTCAAGCAAGTCCAGGACATGCTTGAGAACAAGGGGTCACATGCCCATCGACCTTGGAAGTCACTGAGCTAAATAATGCCTCTTTGCCTTTCGGGTCCCATATCCTAGGCAGGGCTTAGGAGCAGAGCCGGCACTAGAATTATAGACAGCTAGAAGGAAAGTCAAAGCCTGAGGGACGCCAGTCCAATCTGCTTTGCTTAAGCAGAAATAATATTGTTCTTTGTAATCCCTTTTGGGGCTATCTAACCGATGCAGACTTTCAGGGAAAGAATAAAAACAAGTCCTTTCTTTCTTAGTGGGAACACCTCAAACAAAAATGCTAGAAGAAGCTGAGAGCACAGCTCAGTGGCAGAATGTTTGCCTTGCCTGTGCAAGGCCTCAGATTCAATCTCCAGAACTACAAAAAAAAAAAAAAAAAAAAAAAAAAAAAAAAAAAAAAAAAAAAAAAAAAAAAAAAAAAAAAAACAGGTCACGCGACCCGCTCTTTCCACCTTTAAAAGTTTTGCATTTGGGGTAAGAACTGGTAGAAGATTTTTCTTTTTCAGATTCTGCTCAAGAGAGGGAAGCTCTTTGACAGGCATGCCAGCTCTCTAAATGACCGGTGTTACACCGATGGCTTTCAGAAATGACTTCAAAATGATGATTTGTGGTGGGTTTTTTGTTTGTTCAACTTTCTCCTGCACCAGACCTAAGAGCAATCATGCCCTTCCTTTGTAATTCCTCTTTTGATTCGTCCGGTGCCAAAACCCGGGACCAATCATGGCTCCTCTCCTTTTTATTTCTTCTCATTCAGAGCTCATAGACCTCAGCAAGCCATCCTGGCTTTATCCGGGAGCAGAAATATCCCCCCCCAAAGCCTCACCCCAGGTTCTTCTTTCCCACCAATCTTGGAAACTAAAGGCAAGCACCTCAAGGGCTTACTCTCTCCGTCTGCTCTCAGCACAAACTGGGCATTGGGCATTCCCACAGAGCTGATCAAACCCTGCTAAGTTCTGCAAGGTCATAGATCAGGTAGAGTGAAAGGCAGGTTGTACCAAAAGCCAATCTTGGTAAGGGTTTATAAATCCAAAGAGGACAATTTCTTTAATCCCAATACCCATACCTGGATAGCAGAGAATTCAAGGAGGAACAAAATATTCAGAAAAGAATAAATAAAATCTTGGGTTTACTGTTGAAGAATGGTTGGGTCAGTTTCTCCAGCTTTCTGGGTCTCTTGGTGGTGACCTGTAAAGGGACGTCCACGACCAGTTCAGAAACCATTGACAGTGGTGTGACATGGTGTATATCAAACTACACAGTGTAAGTAAAACAGGAGGGACTACACGGAAGTGGAGCAGCAGAAGAGTGGGCAAAGGAAAGCCATCCTAACTTCTAGGCTCTTTGGAGACTGCACTGTCTACAAAGATGGGGAATGCCAGCTCCCTACTTTGTGCTTGTAAGAATAACCTCCATGCCAGTAACGTATTACCGGAGCGAAATTATCCCTGCTAAAATTAGGGTGAGTCCACACTTGGGACACACGCCCAGCATCTGAGCAGAACTCAACAGGACTCACTTACCAATGCCACACTCAACTCATCATCAGCCACATTGCCCTTTGCTGCGCCAAGCCACAGGGGCCATAGCAAGGCTGCTATGCATCATTGCCAAGACAACAAACCACGGAACATATTTTAAGCCTTTTCTAGAAGTAAAGCTAAGGAAGAGGAATGTGTTCCAAATGAGTCGATGTTCAGACAGAGAACACTCAATAATGTCAGGCGCACACTGAAGTCCAAAAATAGCTTTTTCCCAGAGCCAAGCTTATGTGCTGGCACTTCTCAGGAAAAAAACTTCAAGCCTCTCATAATTCTTGGGATGCGGCAATGAGCAAAGGAAAGGGGATTGCTTTTCTGCTACTCTTTTTCACAGAGGATGGATTAACCTCCCTGGTTGGTCCCAGGGGGGATGACAATCTCCATTCCACTTGTCCTCCCATCTGTGCTCTGGGCTCATTTCTCTACACTGCATTTCCTTGGAGAGGTGGAATCCCTTCTTATAGTTGATCCTATACTCCAAGACACACTAGTACTGGCACTCACATGTAGCTCCTTTGGGGGGACTAGGCATCTTTGTTGGTTTGATTTGCATAGGTACCCCGTGAAGCGCATTTATAATGTCAATTTCCCAGAGTTTAATGATACAGCCAAGATCAGAGAAGGGCCCTGTATCTCGAGAGCCCTGTGTATCCTGCTGTTTGGATTTCACTACAATACATCTAAATGTCTGAGAAAACAGGCGAACTATAAATCAAAATCATCATTCCCAACCTGCATCAAAATCCTGCTGAAATGCCTCGCTCAGGGAAAGAGAATAATTATGCCTCGGTTGTAATATATTTCACTGTTGCCTCAAATTCTTCCTAACTTACTATGTCTATATCATTTGATATATGATGTTGAAGTCTTCTACAAGAAAGAAGGAGGAAAAGAAGGAGGAAGAAGAGGAAGAAGAAGATGGTGACAAAGTGTGGCTGGCAGTATGAAGCAGAACCAAGAGCATAACTGGTCCTAAGCCTAGACTCTAAGAAACGGATGCTGCCCATCATTCTCTTCCACCTATGACAAGAGCTCATCATCTATGACAAGAGCTTATCTAAGTAGACTCAGTGCTCCCCGAAGATGAGACCTACATGAAGACCTTCCCCCACTAAGATACCCAGCCACCAAAGGCTTGAGCAGAGTCCCTGCCAGGGGGGTTAACAGATTGGTACAGGCTACAAGTGGATTGATTCTCTCTCTCTCTCTCTCTCTCTCTCTCTCTCTCTCTCCCTCCCTCCCTCCCTCCCTCCCTCTCTCTCTCTCTCTCTCTCTCTCTCTCTCTCCTTCCCTCCCTCCCTCCCTCCCTTTCTCTTTTTAGAAAATGGTACAGAAATCCACCTGCCTTTCAGGAAATCTCCATGTTGGGAAGGAAGTTGGGACCTTCCAGTTATTCTAGACTTCAACATTTTAGGGATGAACAAAGTTACACACACATACACACACGTGTCTTAGGAGCCAAAATTGGGCTGCTGATGCTCTGGTTTTCCCCAAAAGTGCAATATATTAAAGTAACCACGGTTAGCTATCACCATCCATTCATAAAAGATGGGGCATTTTAACACTAAAAGTGAAAAGGAACATAATGCTAGAATATAACTATAGCCCTTCTAAGGCAGTTGGCCATGCTCCATATATGAGCCATTTCTTTCATTCTGTCACAGAATGAAAACTTGGTCACTAAATAGTTCTGTTCCGTGTGTTAACAATGTCCCTACATGCTTTATGGTGGAAACTGTCAGCAGAACATGAAGTCAATTACACAAATCTAGGTTCTATTTCTTCTGTGACAACAAAGAGCTTACTCTTTTCTCCATTGAAATAGAAAGTAAAACTAAATTCCCTTTTCCCCAGCTAGAAGTCTGAAGGCAGCATGGGTGGCCAGTAGCTCTATGGGAGTCACTGTGGAGCATGTACCGGCAGTGTCTCCATCAATATGCAAATGGCATGGGCTTCATTAGGTTGAACAAACTGACCATTCTTTAAATGATTGTTCAAGAGAGTCTACCCAGTGAAAGAAACCATGCCAGTCTTTGTACATAAAAATAAAAATTAAAAAGCACTAAGACCTTTCCAAAAAGAGATGAATTTGATCACTTCAACTTACCTTCTCCACTGGCTGCCAAGAGCTCCTCTGAACAACCAGCACAGACACCAAACCCCAGCTTCTCTTTAGCAAGTCTCTTGTGAAGCCACGGTTCTGTGTGTTGCGCTACTTGAAGCCACTGTGTATTCAGATCACTAGATTGAAGCTATGGTCCATGGGATTCATTCTTGGGGCTAACTGCACACATCACCTAATATCTTTTGCAAACTCCCTCCTGTCTTCGAGCCTCCGTTCCTCCTCTGTAATGAAGGAACTGGAAGATTTCTAAAGAGCCTCCTGGTCTAATGCATCTGAGTGATGCTGAACTCTTCATTCATCAATCTATAATCTAACCAAAAAGGATTCTTTTCAGAGCCAGCAGCCTGCTGTGGCTATGGCTAAGAACAGAGTTGCAGAATCAAGTACAACCAAGATGTTGACCCTGCTCACCAGTGGCCTGGGACCCCGGCAGCTCACTGTCTTATGAGTACAAGGACAGAACCTTGTGGGTGACTTGACAGCCAAGGAGACTAAGAGATGCCAGCAGTGGATGGGACTCAAGTTCACAACTTCCCAGAAGGCAGTGGGGATGCATTTCTAGAATCCCAGTGATCCTGGACTCTAGGACTCTTGTAAAAAGTGTTGGGACATAATTGAGGCAGCATGGACCCCAAAGTCCTCCACATCCCTCATTACAGCCATCCAAGACTCCTTCCATCTGAGAAAGAGTTGGACATGCGAACATCACCCTCCATGGTGCCTAGAAAGTGTAATACCATGAAACCAGGGAGCGATGGACTTGGTGTTCCTCTCAAAGCCAGCTCTGCGAGGCAGCTGTTCCTCCTTGAACCAGCGCACGATGACTTCTCTGGAGAGTGGACGCAGAGGACGCTCCCAGGTCCTGATGGGAAGAAAGAGAGTAAGGGAGGGAACGAATCAGAGGAGTGGAAGAGAATAAAGAACAGGGAGAGGGAAAAGAAAGGGAAGGAGTTGAGTGGGAAGAGATGGCTTGGCAGGTGGGGACACTTGCTACCAAGTCACACCGTGAGTTTGATCCCAGGGACCGACGTGCAGAGAATTAACTCTCACAGGTTGTTCTCTGACCTCCACATGCATGATCTATTATGTTTATGTATACATGTATGGATGCACAGTAAATAAATAATAAGTTTAAGGGCATAGAAGGGGAGGTAGTTCTGACTATTCTCCCAACTTTGGAAAACACATAGGAGCTTTATCTCATAAATATTAAGCATTTCAGCACCCTAGAAAATTCCACCTCCAAAAATCAAATGATAAGTGACAAACTGAGAAAAAGATTTTGCCATAATTTTTCCCTAAATTGGGGAGCTTCTAGAGACAGGTAAAGGGGGCACAGATCACACAGCAAAAGGGTGGACTGGACAACAGAAGAGAAGGAAATACCGTGGCCCTTCAACATATGTGAAATGCTTAGTCTGGCCCATAGTCATGTGTGAGTATTTAAACTTACTCCAAGACATATTTTTTTTACAAGAAACAAGGTTGGCGACACCGTGGGCCAGGCTAAAGGATGTGAAAGATTCAAACATGGGTCACAGCCCTGTGCAGGGCCAAGTGAATTTCAAAAGTACACAGCCTCTGAACAATGACCCTACTTGGGAGGATATCTTGGCAGATTATAGTTTCCCAATATAAAATTAACTTCCACAAGATTATACACGCAGGGTCTGGCTGGTGACTGCAGAAGATTTGAAATAGCAATGCCCACTGACAAAGTCTCTGTTAACCAATAGCAAATCCACACAGCAGAACACAGGCAGCATTTCTTTAAAAAAAAAAAAAAAAAAAAAAAGGAGAAATAAGGTGGTGTATATTTGTTTGCTTTTTGTTTTGTTTTTTAATGTTGGCAAGAACTCAAAGAAGCCCAGGGCTTAGGGTAGGGTAAGGTAAGAAGCGAACAACAATAAATGTCTACGAAGGTGCTGTGAGGAGATGGTACACCAGGAAGGAATCAGTTCTCTATGAACACTATCCCTTCTCAGGCCTTCTAGTACATCATGAGGAAATAAGGGGGAAGGGAGGAAGGAGGAGGGGAGTTGTGAAGCCAGAGGCAGCTCTTGCTAGACTCTAGGGAAGAGGAGTGGGGGGTCATGAACAACCCCAAACTCAGATCAGTACAACATTGGATAAACCACACTACCTGGGGGTAAACTGACTCTTGAACAATCCCCGGAGATGAGGGAGCCACAGTTGCTCAATCCCATAGCTCCCCTCCCCAGGGAAGAAAACTGTGCTGCAAGGATTGCTGAGGGGCCTTGAGATAAGAGCCGATCTCAGGGTCAGTCCAGACTGACAGCCAGAACATGCAGAGGCTTCAGGTAACCTTGTGTCTTTGACTTGCCAATCATAGGTTGTCGCTTAAGTGTCCTTGGCAAACAACCCGTCTATGGACACAAATGTGCACAAGGGCCTCTCAGTGCGTCCACAGTAATCTGCAAACCTGCTGAAGGAGCAAACCAGCTCCATTCAGAATTAGAAAAGGCTGTAGCCCTGCTTTCCAGCTACTGGGCTACATTTATCCCATCTTAGATTTTTTGGTGCAAGGTTTTGGCCAAGACCAAGGAATCTAAAACTGAAAACAGTTGAGGTACTTGCATATGCAGATTATGAGGGGAATAGGATGTATACTTTTCTTCAGATTATCAAAGATTACAGGAGTCCTTAACCACTGAAAGGCTAACCCCAGAACAGCAAAGTTGTTGGAAAGGTCCCACCCTATTTCTGTGTTCCGCCCCATTACATAGATTGGAACGCTAAGGCCCAGGGAGGGCAAATGATCAACAAATAAGAAACAGAGAATGGACCAGAACGCATGGAGCTTGCATCATGGGTCCATGGCCCATCCTAACACACCTGTCAGCTCCTGTAAGGGGTGTTGATTGACTGGTGCATGGAAGTTGATGGCAGAGTCTTGCCTCCTGCTCATGGTTCTGGCCAAGTTCTTGGAACATGGTGCTTAGGCCCGCGACTGTGCCCTTCTGGATGGCTCGGAGTGAGTGGCGCCGGTACTCATCCCGAGCTCGCTGGGCACGACGACTCCTCTCTTCATCAGCCGCCTTGGATCTGCGCACTGGAAAAGAGAACAGTATGGCTGGCCTTGATCCACAGCCCAAGCTGTACACTGGGAAAACACAGACAGCGCTGTACACAACTTACTTGGAATTCCACCATTTCCTGGGAGCTGACCACTCACAACACCATAGACTACAGGAGGCTTGGCTTCTGTAGGAATGGCAAAGCATGACCAGCCCCAAGATTGTGGGGGTACAAGGGTCTTTTTATAACTGACACTCCATGGGCTATAAAACTCAAAGGCACTATTCTCTCTCTAACATTCTGCTTTCCACGTCCCTCAATGGGGCTTTAACATAGCCAAGTAGGCTTGAGAAAGCTACTGTGCCTGTGTGTACTTGTGTCTATGTGTATATGTGTGTGTGTATGACTGTGTGTGTTTCTGTGTATCTTTGCATGTGTTTATGTGTATGTTCATGTGTTTATGTATCTGTATATGTGTGTTGCATGTCTCTCTGTTTGTGTCTGTGCACATCTGTGTATATATGTATGTATGTATGTATTTGTGTTTTATTTTGTGTATTTGTGTGTATGTGCATGTCCATCTGTATGTGTGTCTCTGTGTCTGTGTCTGTGTGCTTTCATGTCTGTGTGTGTATGTGTGAAAGTGTGTGTGTGTGTGTGTCTCCTAAAACTCATAAATACATCTGGGGTTAGGAAAATGAAGCATTACTCTCTCTGTTTCCAAGACAGCCTCATCTTATTGTGCAGTGCCAGCCTTGCTCCCGAGACAGGATGGTGAAGATCAGAGTGAACAGATATGGCTGTACTGGGCTCCTGGTTACCAAGGCTGCCTTTATGTCTGGCAAATGAATATTTTTGCCATTAATGACCCCTTCATTGACCTTAACTGCATGGTCTATATATTCTAATATGACCATGGCAAGTTCAATGGCACAGGCAAGGCTAATAATGGGAAACTTGACATCAACGGGAAGTCCATCCATCGCCTTCTTCCAAGAGTGGAATCCCGCCAACATCAAATGTGGTGCTGCTGGTGCTAAGTAGTTTGTAAAGTGTACTGGAATCTTCACCACCATGGAGAAGGATAGGGACCAATTGAAGGATGGAGCCAAAACGGTCATCATCTCCTCCCCTTCTGCTGATGCCCCCATGATTGTGTTATGTGAACCATGAGAAGCATGACAATTTTCTCAAGATTGTCAGCAAAGCTTCCTGCCACCAACTGCTTAGCCACCTTGGCCAAAGCCATCCATGACATTTTTGTCATTGTGGACAAACAGTCTATGCTATCACTGCCACCCAGAAGACTAGATGACCTTTCTGGGATGCTGTGGCTTTATGGGACTACCCAGGACATCATCTCTGCAAGACTCACAAAAGGGTATCCTGGGCTACAGTGAGGACCAGGTTGTCTTCTGTGACTTTAACAGTGATGCCCACTTTTCCACTTTGATGCTGGGGCTGGCCTTGCTCTCAGTGACAACCTTTAAAGCTCATTTCGTGTTATGACAGCAAATTCAGCTACAGCAACAGGGTGGTGGACCTCATGGCCTACATGGGCACAAACACACACACAGTCATGTATGCCCTCACATGTACATACAGAATATTTAATGAATTTAAAAAGCTTTTCATGATTTGGCTCTGCATTTGACTATGGGCTGGATAAAGAGAAGACATGGAAGCAGACCTTCCTTTCAATCACTCTGACCAAGGTGGAGAAAGGATAGATAAATATCACCAATCTTAATGAAAAAGGTCACGAGTGCCCTTAGAAGAAGAAAAGAAGGGGGAAGAAGAAAGAGGAGGAGAAAAAGAAAGGATCAGCAGCAGCAATAAATAAATTACTGTGAGAGTTCCGGATCTACAAAGTCCATAATGTACAGGAACCAGGGCTGTCAAAGGAGAATAAGCCTGCAACTTTGCTGTGGAGGGGTCTGTTCCCACCGGAACTGTGCTATGGAGGGGTCTGTTCCCACCGGAACTGTGCTGTGGAGGGATCTGTTTCTACCGGAACTGTGCTGTGGAGGGGTCTGTTTCTACCGGAACTGTGCTGTGGAGGGGTCTGTTTCTACTGGAACTGTGCTGTGGAGGGATCTGTTCCCACCCGAGCTGTGCTGTGGAGGGGTCTGTTTCTACTGGAACTGTGCTGTGGAGGGGTGTGTTCCCACCAAGACTCAAGCTGAGATGTGGGACCTTTAAGAGAAACTGCAGTCACCTTTGTAAGTCTTGATTAATTTTCTCATCAAAGGATGAGTTTTGGGGAAACAAATGACTAAATCAGATCATCCTGCTTTGATCCCTCTCTGTTTCCTCTTGCTCTCAGGCAGAGAATAAACCTGGTCCCTTTGTGAACTGCCAAGTCTTGTGAATTACACTGAGAGAAAATGAACAAGACGGTGTGGAGAGATCAAATCCTTTCTAGAGAAACGGAGAGGGGAGCTCATTCCAGGAAACAACTGTGGGTTTCAGTGACCCAGAGACTCCTCTGTAGGCCTCAGGGAGCAAGAATTCTGTGAATTCTGTTTTCACTGTGGGCAGAGGATCCGACAGGGTCAGGAAGCCCAGGACTGACTTCAGGGTCATTAATACACAGACAAGTAACTTCACAGAGTTTACAGTCCCTAAGAGCAGGAACTAGAGAAAGACAGACAGTCAGACAGACAGACATAGGTTTTGCTTCTGAATCCCTGTCTCGTATGCAACACTATTATTCTTTAATTCTTTTTCCCTGGACAATAGTCAGTGCCACCCTTAGTCTGAGGACTGCCACCCTGCCAGGCTATTCCAGAATCATATCCCCGATGACCTTCAGGGCTCCCACTCAGTTCTCTAATACTGAAGAAATACAGAAATATCTCTTTTTCCTCTTGGTAGACTATGTGCAAGTAGTCACACAGATCCAGAATTGCAAAGAGTTAAGAACTAAAGGAGTTTCACCACTTCAAATAACGTGCTGGCCAGGTGTGGCGATACCCTTCTATACTTCTAGGACCCTGAAGACTGAGCTCAGAGGATTACAAGCTTCAGGACACCTAGCTTTATAGCGAGACCCTGCTTCAAAACCCTGAATGAATGAATGGCATAGTCAGACAAGTGGTATTTAGTTATCTACTTGTGCCGGTTCTAAGTGTTGCACAGGGCTAGCGCTTCATACTATGCAAGTCACACACCGTACAACTTCAGGAGACCCAGCTGTAATGTTTGGCTCTCAGAGAGCTTACAGCCCAGTGGGCACAATGTAGCACTAAACAGTAGAGCTGTGGTGGGGTGCCCATTGGCCACCAGTGACCCCAGACATGGATAGTCTCTGGAAGCAGGGAGAGGTCTAAGCTGATGCCTGGTGGATTCAAGGGATTCAACCAACAGTGGCCAATGGAAGAAGAATTTTAATAGAGTGGGCTCAGAGGCCAGAGGGAGCGGGCGTGCAGCATCCCTGCAAGGCAGAAGTACCAGAAAAGACAACTTGATGGCCAGTAACTCCTGGCTTATGTGCTCTAATAATGTCTTGAAAGATAACTGGAAGCCACTAGAGGGCAGAGTTCTGTCTGCACGCTAAAGAGATTGCTTTAGAAGATGCAGAAAAACAGGAAGGCACTGAGCAAGGAGAATGGCTGAAGCAACAGCATATAAATTTAGAGAAATAAAAAGGCAGAATCTGTACAATTATGTTGGATTAGTAGCAGTAATATTACCATTGCTTTATTTATGGGGTGGGGGAGTGTAGAAGTCGGAGGACTTGTGGGAGTTAAGTTCTCTCTTTTTTTCCTTATGGATCCCAGGACTTGAACTCAGATCTTCAGCCTTGACAGCAATTGCCTGTACCCACTGAGTCAATCATAAGCTCCCTGGGTCAGTTTTCATGCTGAGAGTGGGAAGAAGGAAGAGACCTGATGGCCAGGGTCCAGTCCTTTTTGAAATTACGTTATTGATTGATTGGTTGGTTGGTTGGTTGAGTGACTTTTGTGTGTGTGTGTGTGTGTGTGTGTGTATCCATGCGTATGAAGTATGTATACATGTATTTTGGTCTCTTTGAGATAGGGTCTTTCTAGTTTGCCCTGGACAGGCTGGAACTGGTCATGTAGACCAGGATGACCTCAAACTCATAGACATTCACCTGCCTCTGCCCCCAAGTGCTAGGATTAATGGTGTGTGCCACCACACCCAGCATCTCTCTGCGGTTTTAAGTATAGAATTAACTGTCTATAATTTTTTTCCTGCCTAGAAAATGAGGGCTTCATGCGGTTGCCTTGAGATCACAATGAGGGAGCAAATGGCAGGGGTTTGCTCAGAGCCTGGCATAGACCTATGCATTAAATGTGTCCAGAATGCCTACTGGGTAGACTGTGTATTCTGGGGACTGAGCACACCATTGGAAAGAGTCCGTTTCTTGGGATAGGAAGAGGACTGATTAGTGGAGAGGAAGGTGACTTCTTGGTAGAATTAGGAGTTCCCAGCAGGAAACTAAAAATGAACCTGTGGAAAGAGTAAGCTCCTTTGCCTCTGGAGAGGCTATATCAAGGATATCCCTTTCTTTCTTTCTTTCTTTCTTTCTTTCTTTCTTTCTTTCTTTCTTTCTTTCTTTTTTGAGACAGGGTTTCTCTATAGCTTTGGAGCCCGTCCTGGAACAGCCTTTATAGACGAGGCTGGCCTCAAACTCACAAAGATCCGCCTGCCTCTGCCTCCCGAGTGCTGAGATTAAAGGTGTGCGCCACCACCGCCCGGCCAAGGGTATCCATTTTCAAAGATGTCCTGTGACTCAGACTGCTGGAGCCATGACACCTGCCTAAATCTGTGCCTTTAGCAAGAAATATTATGAAGACTGAAAGGCAAGCATCCAAGTCTGGGAAAGCAAGTGAGATGCACCCACAGTTCAGTGGGTCTAATGAAAGGGTCTTTCTCAGCCTTTACCCAACAACGTCCTTCTTCCCTCTAGCACAGGGTCACCCCTGACAACAGAGAACCCTGTGGAAAACAAGGCTGACTCTTGGATCCTTTCATGATCCAAGCTCTCAGGCTATGGGATAGAGCAATGGCTTGTCATGGAAATGTTAAATAAGGCCCAGGGATCGGCCAATGGGGCACATGGCGGTACACAGAGTATTAGAAATGGGTTAATTTATATGTAGAACTAGCCAGTAAGAAGCCTGAGCCATCAGCCAAACACTTTGTAATTACTATTAAGCCTCAGAGTGGTTATTTGGGAATTGGCAGGCGATAGAAAAGCCTCCAACTTCCCCTCAGTTAATCTTCTCCGAAAACACCTCACAGATCAGGATGGTGGTGAACCTCACAGGTTTGTTAATCCAATCAAGCTTCCCTACAGAAATCAACCATCACACTTAGACACTCCATGCAGAGGATATCAAGTTGCCTTTTTTTTCTTCTCCCCCTTAAATTCTAGTCCACAGTCTTCTCTGCTCCAGCACACCTCCATCCAGTCTAGCAGTGTTCTCACCAGCTCCTCTTGGTTCAGCTTGCCCCAAGCCTCTCACACTGTAGCGTCACCAACGTTCAACCGAGGACCCAGACCCACTTCTTTGTAAAAGGGAAGGAAACGGAAGCAACATCACTGGGCCCCTGTGCCAGGCTTTATGAACACTTTCCTCAGGCAGCTCTCTCGGCAAGCAGGCAAGGAGTGAGGCAATGGCATGTAGGAGGTTGATTTGGGGCCGTAACCCAAAGCACACAGTCAGAGGCCCCAGAGTGACCACAACTCCTACTCAAGGTGGCCAGACCTCATTACATTTTAACCTCACAGAAGCAATAATGTCTGGGTTCTATGAATAATTTTATTTGCTGGATCCTCTCAAAGTCTCTGACCAACTAAATAGTCTCCAACTCCACAACCCTACAAGCTCACAGTTGAAAATCATTATACACACTGCCCTGGCTGACCTATCCAGAGGGTTTCAGAAGCCAGACCTCTAAGATATGAGCTGAGTAACTAACGCTCCGCTCAAGTGATACCGAGAGCCACCCTTCCCTTTTTTCTCAGTTGGAGAATTTAATTTGACTGTTTTATCAAAACTGCTGCTCCTAAGAGATTAATGGCCCACTATATCTTTCAGATTAAGTTAATTGAGTGCGGAAGGGATTGCTAGATTTGAATGGCATGCTCTACATTCAGTTCTTTAAGAAAATATGAAATGAGAGCCTGCAACCAGAGAGCCTGAATTGTCACATGCCTGCTGTGGAAACATGAGGACACCAGCTTGGATTCCTGGTGTCTATGTAAAATCTAGGCATGGTGGCATGCACCTGTCATGCCTGGGGGCTACAGACCAACAAGATCGAAGAGTTCACTGGCCAGTCAGACTAGCCAATCAGTGAGCTCCAGGTTCATGGAGACCTTGTCTCAAAAGAGAAGCAAGAAGAATAGAGGAAAACACCCACCATCAGACATTAACATTCACCTTCTACGTGTACACACACACACACACACACACACACACACACACACACATGCATGTACACTCTATGGTTACATTTTATTTCTGAGGTGATAAGATTTTATATGCTTAGATAGTGGGAGAACTGCACAGTTTTGTGAGTGTACCAAAAAATGCCCAATTGTAAATTCTAAAATGATGAATTTTGTGATATGCAAATTAATTTTCCAAAAAGGTCCATTTAATGAAACTGGCATATATTCATATGGTCAAGGAATACTGAGAAGCAGAGGGTTGCCTAGCCAGAGGGCTCTCACCTCTCCATCCTACCATGGGCTTTCATTGCAGTACAACATGTAATGCAGACTGAAAACACCCACACCCCATGCCATCCCTGTTCATCCTCTCCCTGACCTAACAGATTCACACGCAAGTCTGCAAGGGTCCTACTCACCAGCACTGGTCAAGCATGCGTACTACTTTGTTTTTACTGATGCTTTGACCTGTAAGCACTTGTTGATGCTGGAGGGCTGTCCCTCCCTCCCAAGGCCAGCCAGCTACTAGCGTAGTAAAGGGTTTACCTTTCATAAGCAAACCATCCAAACAGAAGCCACTTCCTCCAGTGAGAAGCTTTTACACCAGGTCATGACACCTGGACCAGCATCCACCTGTCCTAGTTACCTTAGAGGCCAGACAACATGGAGTCAGTGCCCACATTCAACAACTCATTGGAACTGTTCACATCAACAAATAAATATTCCTACCTGAGCCTTACCCTCACCCCAATTCCTCACTGACCCTGATGCCTCCTATGTGACCACACCTTGTGTGTTACTTCTTGGTGTCTAGGCTCTGTAAGGAAAGACATCTTAAGAGTTGTATTGTGCCCACATGGCAGTATACCTGGGCTCAGCAACTCCTGGGCACTGTTAAAATGTTACCCTTTAAACCTGGCTCCTCTTTGTTTTTCCCACTCGTCTTCTTGCATCAGATACTCCCCAGAGTTTCCAGAGTGTCTTAGCTTACAGTGCCCCATGGTCACTGTGCCTTCACACATGCTGGCCTCCACCTAAAGGGCTCTCTTTGGAGATGGAGAGACAACTCTATGGTTAAGAATGCTTGCTGCTCTTGAATGGGACCATAGCTTGGTTCCCAGCACCCATGTCAGGAGATTCACAACCACCAATAATGCCATCTTCAGGGGATCTGACATCCTTTTTGACCTCCAGAGGTACCCACATGCACATATATAAACACAGACACATATACACGCATGCATACACATAAAAATAAAAATCCTCAGAGTGCTTTTTGCTACAATTATTCCTAAGGCACCACCAGGGTTCACTTCATACACTCCCTCGGAGCCCACCAGGACAGCCAATCCTCTGCTCCAACAGTACCTGCCACATTTCTCCCTCAAGTTCATGTATCTCTCTGTGCTGACTGGAAGCCCCTCTAACATAAGGCCTGTAAGTATCAATATCTGAAGTCCCCAGAACACAGCTGTGGTGGTTTAAATGAGAATGCCTCCATGGGCTCATATGTTTGAGTGATTGGTCCATAGTAGAACTGCTTAGGAAGGATTGGGGCATGTCTTAGAGTTTTATTGGTTAGAGCTACAGTGAAAAGACACCATGACCATGACAGCTCTTATAAAAGAAAACATTTCACTGGGGCTGGCTTACAGTTCAGAGGTTTGGTCAGTTATCATCATGGTAGCAACCATAGGAAGAGACAATGGCTTGAGCATTTGAGACCTCAAAGTGACCTCCGCTAACTAAGCCACACCTACTCCAACAAGGCCTAATAGTGCCACGCCCTATGGGCCTATGGGGGCCAATTTCTTTTAAACCACCATAGGAGGTATGGTCTTGTTGAAGAAGGTGTGTTACTGGAAGTGTGTTTTGAGATTTCAAAAGTCCATGACGGAAAGACACACACCAGGAGAGGTATAGCAGGATCATATGATAAGTCCGATTTCTAAGGGTTTCTCTCTCTCTCTCTCTGTCTCTCTCTCTCTCTCTCTGTCTCTCTCTCTGTGTCTCTCTCTGTCTCTGTCTCTCTCTGTCTCTCTCTCTCTCTGTGCACATGTGTGTCTATGTGTGTGTGCATGTGTGTGTGTCTGTCTCTCTTTCTCCTCTGACTGTGTCTGTCTTTCCGTCTGTCTGTGTCTCTCTCTGCCTCCTTCTGTCTCTCTGGCTCATTTTTCTTTGTGTATCTGTTTATCTGTCTCTATATCTGCCTATCTCTCTGTCTCTGTCTGTCTCTGCCCTGCCCCCACTTCTTCCTGCTTCCTACCGGTAAGGATTTAGAGCTCTCAGCTACTACTCTAGCACCGGTACCTGTTTGCTTCCTGTCGTGATGGTCGTGGACTAACCCTCTGAAACTGTAAGCAAGCCCTCAATCAAATGCTTTCTTTTATAGGAGTTGCCTTGGTCCTGGTGCTTCTTCATAGCAATAGAAGGGTAAGTCAAACAACAGTGTAGAGTCAAGAAATTATTGCCAATTGAGTAAATATAATGTTTCATTCTTTAATGGGAGACATCTCCAGGGCCGTTGCGTAAACTCCTTGAGTGTGCAGCCCTGAGCCCGGTGGGGCCATGCACATGGGTAAAGCCTTGGGTGGTGGGAGAGGGGGCTGGGGATGGTGAGGCACAAGCACAGGGGGGAGAGCTGGGTGGGAAAAGTGGGGCAGGCCCAGGCCTGGGACACAGCTCAACTCACGCTGCTCTTCCCACTCGCGCTCCTCCTTCTCACTGGCTTGGCAGTGCAGCTGGGCCTGCTTCAGTGTCCAGTAGAGTTCTTTGGCTCGCTGCTCCTCCTGGAGGCGAATCTGTTCTTCTCCTCGCCTCCTCTCTTCTTCCTCTTTCCTCTGCAAAATTATTGAGATGGAATGGCATTGGAATGGGTAACTAACTGCCTGGGGGATTCTGTAGCTAGTCAAGCTGAGCTGTCAGGAGGAGAATGGCCAGCAGCCACCATTCTACTCCTGGTCCCTACACAACTGAAATGTGATTGTCACACTTGGTAAGAACCAAATGGATTGGCAAGATTTTATTTTATAAATTTTATTTGCTGTTTTGCAATACTTGGGATTGAACCTAGAGCCTCATTTTTTTTCCTGGCTTAATAATTGCTTTATCTTAAAGAAGAATATTGAAATTTCTCAAACTCCTATCAAGTACAGTAAGCTTTCTCTAGATTAACCCACATATGAGTTCTCATAAACACGGTATTACTTCTTTTTCAGAAAGACACCCTTCCCCTGGAGGTCATTTTTTCTTTCTCCTATGGGCAATGCGGGCTGCTTCCTAGATACCTCTCCACCCATGCTCCAGGACCTGCCTCTGAACCTTCTCTGAGACAGAGCCCTGTTTCACGGGTTGCTGCCTTCCTTCTGCAGTCACATATCTCAGGATACACTGAGCCACTTTCTGAGCGTTTACCTGAAAATATTGCTATGCCAGCCTCTCACTCAGCTACTAATTTAGCTGAGCACATTGCTACCTTGTCTTCCAGCATTGCTGGCGCTTCTTCATCTGCTGCATGGGGTACTTGTTTTCTCCCTGGATATCTGCAGAGTTTCCTTACCATGGGCATTTTAAAAAAATTTTCTTTTCTTTCTCCTTTTTTTTTTTATTGAAAATAGATTCTTCTCTCCTACAATATAGCCCAACTACAGTTTCCCCTCCTCTGCTCCCCCTCCATTTCCTTCAGAAAGAAGCAAAACATGGCCCACTGAATCAATTAAGCAGGGCTTATATCGGCTCACAGAGACAGAAGTGGCAAGCATGGGGCCTGCATAGGTCTGTACCGGATCCTCTGTGTATATGATAAAGCTGTTAGCATGGTGTTTCTGTGGCACTCCTAACATTGGGAGCAGGTTTATCTGACTCTTTGGGATGTTCTTGGGACTCTTTCTCTTATTGAGTTGCCTTGTCCAGCCTCTATATGAGGGATTTTGCCTTTTTTTTTGTTGGGGGGGGGGGTCTCTGTATAACAACAGTCTTAGCTGTTCTGAAACTCACTTTTATAGACCAGACTGGCCTCAGTGATGCTTTGTCTTATACTATCTTGTTTTGTCGTGTCTGATCGTCAATTCTACAGCATTTTCAATGATGGGCTGTGGGTTTTCTGCAGGCTAGAGGCCCGTATCTATCCAGTACAGTACTTCCCCTCTGCCTGGATGAGTTCCCTCACTTCTCTTGCTATGAGACTCCTGTCAGCCTGAGTCAGCCTCCTAAAAACTTCATCTTTTCTCTCTTAGTTTCCACATCTTGTCTTTTCTTGGTCTGCCTCCTTGTGGAAGTCTCTGACTCTCTCTTCCAACTGCTTCGCCAGGTGTGAGCTGTTTCCTTTCTGTTGTGGCATGTGTGACTTTTTTAAGCCCTCATTCTTGTTTGCTAACCGCCTCCTTCATGTGGCTGCATGCTGTATTTGTTTCAGAAGTGTGAGAGCCTAGCTCTCTGAAGATGGAGGCCTTTGTCTTTCTCCCTGCTCTGGCTGAGTTCTATTTCTTTTGTGTTCTGTTGCATTTATTTGACTTGGTGCCTGCCACTTCTAGAAAAGGAAGGCTTTCTTCAGATAGTCTTTCCCTGTCTGTTCACAGTGAAGAAGAAAGTCAGACTTGAATGGGAAGTTGAGTATATAGCCAACCTCACTGAGAGACGAGCTTTACTCTGTAACTGTTACATAAGGAACCAGCCATTTCTTTGAAGAACAATCAGGTGGAAGGTTTTGGGGCTCCTTTCTGTAGGATTATCCAGAATCTTCTATTCTCCCTGAATAGTATCTGACCAGGAGTCAACAGTGAGCAGGCTGCAGGCAGAATTGACCTTAAATCCCCCGACCTGAGCCTCATGCTTTATGCGAAGTCATGGTCTGAAGTGCTTTATTTGTCAATTTCTTCCTCCAGTTCCCTTCCCTGCAGAAAGGAGAGGGGCAGCCCTTTCTTCCAAGGCCAGACAAGGCCCTGCATGAGCTCTGGTCCCTTTTAATTTGTTTCTCATGTTCTCTGTTTCTCTCTGTGTTCTATGAGTGTGGACACAGGCTGTGTCCTCGACTGTGTAGAACAGCAGCTTTCGGGCTGTGCTAGCCTTGAAATACTGCATTTTCTAAAGCAAGGGCATTGGTGGTTGTTTCTTTAATCTTTGCTTTTTGTTCTTTTTACTCTTTTGGGGCCCCACCACCCAGATCCCAAATAAATCACACTGAGGCTTATTCTTACTTATGAATGCCTGGCCTTAGCTTGGCTTGTTTCTAGCCAGCATTTTTTAAAAAATATCTTGTCTACCTTTTGCCTCTGGGCTTTAATCTTTCTATATACTACATAAAGGTATATATTTATTCTATATACTTTTCTTTACTTCTTACTCTGTAGCTGGCTGTGTAGCTGGCCCCTAATGTCCTCCTCTCCTCCTTTTCTTGCTCCCTTGATCTTCTCTTCCCAGATCTCTCCTATTTATTCTCTCCACCTGCCATCCCTACCTACCCTTTCTCCTGCTTGTCTATTGGCTGTTCAGCTCTTTTTTAGACCTATGAGGTGTTTTAGTAGATAGGCAAAGTAACATAGCTTCACGGAGTTCAACAAATACAAGATAAAAGAGTACAACACATTGTTGCACCATTAAACACATGTTCCACAGCATAAACAAATGTAGCACCTTAAAATAATATTCCACACATGAGTTTTTTTATTATATCTTTAAAGTTTAATTTGTATGCATGCTTGTATGGGAGGCACATGCATGGCATGGCATTTAGGTAGAGGTCAGAAAACTATTAGTGGGAGATGATTCTCTTCTTCCACAAGGTGGATCCCAGGGATGGGATTCAGTTCCTCAGACTAAGTAGACACACCTGCTAAGCCCTCTCACCACCACCCCCCAAAAAGAAAGCAGTTTTGACATGAGTTACTATAGCCCAAGTCTAGGTGGTAGGATAAGATCACTGTCTTAGTTAGAGTTGCTATAGCTGGAAGAGACACCATGACCACGGCAACTCTATATTATAGAGAAAACACTTGGAGTGGCAGCTTATAGTTCAGAGGTTCAGTCCTTTATCAGCATGGCGGGGAGCGTGGCCACATGCCAGCAGAGGTGGTGCTGGGCACTGAGAGTGCTCCATCTTGCAAGCAACAGAAAGTCAACTGACTGTCGCACTGAGGGAAGTGCACCAGACTTTTTCTTTTGGACCACCAACCAACTCCTAGATCATGACACGGAGACTTACTATATGTTATAAATGCTCGGCCTTAGCTTAGCTCTTATTTTAATCTGTTTCTCTTTATCTATGTTTTTGCTTCAGGAATTTTTGCTTTTCTTTCTATATGTCCTACTTTCCTGCTTCTCCTGTTTGGCTAGCTGGCTGGCTTCTGGCCCCAAGCATGCCCCTCTCTTTCTCCCTAGTTCTCCTTCTTCTCTTTGTTCCTCTTACCAGTGTGGCTACATCAGACAGATCTCCTGTCTTTATTTATTACTATTAGCTGTCTGTTTAATTAGCCTATTGAGGATGAGTGGCCAAGTTCAACTTGGTAGAGCTGCCAGACCCCAGGCTCTGATCTTAAGAATTCTGGTAATAGTAGTAGTTGGTGAATTAAAGTGAACAAAATTGATGTAACTTTAGAATTAATTGTTATCCAATAAATTGTGGTTCTGTGGAAGGATACAAACAAGTTCACTCTGCTTCTTACATAGCCCATTAGTGACAAGGAGGTTAACCAGATGTCCCAGTAACTCCAGAACTCATTTCCATGGAGTCAGATTAGCCTATAGCCCAGTGGCTTAGCTCTGGTTCCAAGAAGGTAGTACTCTGATAACAGACACAGACACTACTGACCAATATAGTATTTTTTTCACTAGCTCACAAGAGATTTAGTTGCTGAGACAGAGATAAAAGGCTGGTTTTAGGTGGCTATAATTATTAATAGAGACAAAACGATTGTTCGCCTTCCCTGTACACCCAGGAGGCAGCCCTAGCTATCTTCCCACTGCTCCAGGTTCAGACCTTGACTTATATCTTTCCTTCCCACACATCTCTCTCCATTCTGCCTGGCAGCTCAGGCCTTTCCTTTTTTACTTCCCACTTCCTTCTGGTCAAAAGGAGGAATAGATTCAATATCATAAGGACAAAGCAAATGAAATGATGGTAGACAGGTTCAGCTGCTCCACAAGAAGAACCTGCAGACAACCTCACATCTTTAGTACCATTCCTGCAGTATTTGGTGCCTCCAAATCCTGGGCCTCTGTGGTTCCAGACTGAGCCAGCTCACTGCCTTACCCTTCCTACACCTCCCTCCACTGGATTCTTGAATGTCTTGCCTCTGTCTTGAGATTTTCTCATACTTCCTCTCCTCTCTCATTTTTTTCTGTTCATATGTTATGCAAATTTTTCTAGGTTTAGGAACTATATTAATGACTTAAAAAAGGAAAAGGTAATATAACTGTAATTCTTAATCCTTTATTTTAAAAAAAAGGATGGGGGGGGCTGGACAAATGACTTAAGAGCTAAGAGAACTGGCTGTTCTTCCAGAGGACTAGGGTTCAACTCCCAGCACTTCCATGGAAGCTCACAATAGTCTTTAACTCTAACTCTGAGGAACCCAATGCCCTCTTCTGGATTTCATGGGCACTACAAGCACATGGTACACAAATATACATGCAGATAAAATACTCATACACACAAAATGACAATCGGTAGTGATGACTCATGCCTTGCTAAACAGAGGCAGGTGGATCTCTGGGTTCTGAGTTCTGAGGCCAGCCTGATGTACAGAGCAAGTTTCAGGATAGCCAGGGCTACACAGAGACACCCTGTCTTGAAAAATGAAACAACAAAACAAAACAAAAAATTACTGATGTTTTGCTGTTGCTTCTGAAATGGTTTTGATTAAGTTCTTTTCTCCAATGATCAATTTGTACTTCTAAAATCATCAAGAGATCCATTCTTTAAGAATTAGAAACATAAGCTAAAGAAGCTAACTGATTTTATTAAAATTACTGAGCATCTGTGAGACTCACAGGCCTCCTGTGGATGCAGTATGAGAAACAGGGTCCCTGCTCACTCAGAGTTTACCTTATGGTGGTGAGAAAACCAAACAAGTAAATTAAAGTTCAATTAATTTCACAAAAGAATGACTAGTGTGTATGAGCATGTTTGGGAGACTACCATAGCTATGTGACCAGTAGAATTGTCATAGGGGATGGCATGTGGTCTGACTCCCAAGTTACAAGCAGAACAGACAGATGGGCATGCCACAAGACCATCCCACAGGTCTCCAAAGGTGGTTGGTCCCAGGCAGGGAGCCACATGGTGGACGAGAGACAGAGACATGGATAGGCATGCCATGCAGAGTGAGGTTGGATATTTATTTAGTGGGTTATGGAGGGGAAAGGGAAGAAGAGCAGAGAGTGTGAGGGGGTAGGGGAGAAGTAGGGAAAGACAGAAGCTGTCTCTTTGAGAGGGAGATGGAAAAGGAAAGGACTCAGGCTGGAAGCTGAAGATCAGCCTGCCTTGGGGGGGGGGGGGATGGCTTGTCTCTTAAAGGGACAGGACAGATCATTGCACACTATCACTTACAACTCAAAAGAAAGAGTTGGAATCAGAAAACAAGACTAATAAAGAAAGCCAAGGTTAGGATAATAAGCTAGAAGGAAGGATACCTGTGAACAACCAGAAAGAAGGAGCATGTAAGGCAAAGAGAGTAGTGAGCTGAGATGAAGCCTATTAAGGCATTACAAAGGTAAGAAAGCTAAAGCCAGCTGGGCATGATAATTGGAAGTGCCTGGAGAATGTGAAAAGAGCAGCCCTCATGGAACAGAGGGACAGTTATCTAGGCACCACAGGGAGGAAGTAAAGATGACCATCAGAACATCCAAGATGAGAGAAATGTGGGGTTACAGTAGACAACACAGAGTGGTTCCTTAGCTTTTTGACTAAGATCCCTCAGAGATAGACAGGGGAAGGACGGCTTTGCCATGGGAAATCCTAAGGCAGTTCCTGACTGATAGGAACTGGAAGCCATGTTTCCAACTTTAGTCAAAACAGCTTACTATGCACCACAATCTTAGCAGAATGGGTATCCCTCCTCATGTTGGCACAACCCTTCATATTTTACCTAGCACATTTCCTTTTCCTCGCCCTGGGCTCCCTGAATTCTGACAATAGTCACTGTGTCACTGAGGCCACAAGATACCAGCCAAAGCAACTTGCCCACAGGCACATCAGTTACTTCACCCACCCATAGTGCCTTCCAGGCAGACAGATGACTCCTGTCAGAGCCAGGAGTCTAAGATCCAAACTGTATGAAGTATCACCGTTATAAAGTATCACTGCCTATATGGCTTGAACAAGCACATGCTTCCTCGTAGTTCTACAGGTGGCCAGTCCTAACACATCAGCAGGGTTGATTCATCCTGAGGAGTCTCCTCAGCCTGCAGGTGGTCAATGCTGCTTTACCCTGTGTCCAATTTATTCTTCTTAGAAGGATACCAGTGATATTGTATTCAGGCCTAACCAACACTAAAGATTGCACTTTAGCTAAAATTACCTTTATAAGGTCCTTGCCTTCAAATACAATTATGTCCTGAAATCCTGGAAGTTTCAAGACTTCAGTGTAGATGAAGGGGGTAGGGGCAATTGAGGAGACTGCCCTCTAGAGAAGGATCAAAGGGTCAGGACTGGTGTGCTGATTTTCCCACATTACAATGTGACTAGGCATTACAGTGTGAAATTCCTACACAAGCCAGCTGTGGGTGACAGGAGGCAGAACATTAAACAACAGTGTCATTGTTCAGCTACCTCGCCTCTTGAGAGTGCTACTGTAGCAGGGAGCCAGTGGTCTACGGCAACCTCCCTTCTTAAAGGAAAATGACTGGCCACTCACTGTGACAAAGGCATACCTCTTCACAAAGACCGAGACAACAAAAGAAAACAGTTTGCCACCACAAATCCACAGGATTGCATCTTGCGCCTCAAGGACTCACTAAAATGGCTCAACTCTCACAGCAAAAATCACTAAAATATTCTCATTGTTATGGCAACCATCAGAACTGTTGGGCCAGCCTGAGATCACTGAGGAAAAGGAGCTGGGCCCAACAGAGGAGCCCAGAATGTAAATATGAAATGTTCCATGGTGCCGAGTGCCCCGGCTATGAACTCCTGGAGGACAAGAACGAGAAGAGAGACAAGCACCCCAAACGGTGTTGGAAATCTTGAGAATGCTCCAAGCTTCTTCCCATTGTCAGCTGAGGAAATGTGGCTGAGGGAGACAATAGCAGTCTGGCTAAAGGCCAGAGTCTTCTTAAGAAGGGGTGGGATGCCAACCAGCCCTTTAAGAATCCAGACCCGGTCTCAGGACAGACTTGGGCAAACCACTAGAACAAGCCACCAAGAGTCCCATTTTGAAGGTCCTGGTAGGGCACTGCCTTAAACAGTGCCTCTCCTACAGTCTCCCATGTCTGAGGCTTCTCAAAGCAAAGCCGTGCTATATCAAGGTGCCTACTTCTACTAAAGTTCAAACAGGCATGTTTAGCAAGTTAAAGTTGAAAACGAAGACACACACATCAGAACTAGAACCTTCTTTGAAAATAACACCAGATACCTTTTTGAGTCCTTCAGTGACCTGAAGGCCTGGCCAGGTGGCCTCACTGATACCACTGTGAGCCCTGGCAGAGCACCCCACAATGTCTCCCTTCCATCACCGAGGCTTTCAAGGCGACCATCAACCAGAGAATCTCTACCAGAAACATGACCCCTCTGTGATCTCTCTGTGCAGTGAGCCCAAGACCCAGCTCTACCTCAGCTCACTCCAAGTGTCTAGACTCAACCCTGGGTATGAAAAAAGAGACAAACGGAGCCTATCATGACCACTGTTAGAGACACGGAAAAAGAAATACTTTCTTCCTCAGTCAGCTTAAAGCTAAATCATATGAAAACCTGAACTCCATAAACCTCTCTCCAATCTTGGGTCGAATATTGTTTAAAGTGAGGGGAGGGGCTGGCACCTAATGTACAAAGTGAGGGCAGGACCACTCCAACGTATAAATAAAGAGAAGGTTTTTATTGTAGATATGAGGGAGAGTACAGTCAGAGGCATCTGGAACATATCTCAACATCCCCACTCTGCAGCTGCTAGGGAGGAAGGAAGAGGTTTTAAAATGGGGAGATGCTGACAAGTGAAACTCAAAGGCTAACTCCTTCCAAAGCTGCGCAAAGGGAGACAGGCCCAAACTCCAGTTTAGCTTCCGGCTCATAAGACCATGTCCCTGGGATGAATCCAGGCCCATTAAATTGACTCCCTCAGAAAGCTCAATAATGGCAGAAAAATGTGCAATGTGGCCTAGCCTGCACCTAACGAGGCTGCCTGTTCTTAACAGCGCTCCCTACAAGGATGTTGGGCAGACATCTCTTTCAACTCAGAAGCATGTGTCTGGATGCCCGGAGGGCTGTTCCTTGGCACTGTAATCAAGGAGGGGCCTCCTTCCCCCAGCTTCTGATGGAGGACAGATGACCACTTCACCAACTGCTTGGCTGAGGGAACAGCATCTAATTAGAGGCTGACCCGCTTTTAGCTTCTTCACCCCTCTACTTCTGCTGAAAACAGGCTCTCCCCTGCCCTGTCGCTGAGTGCTCTTTCCCACACATCACCTCAGCCACTGCTGAGGAATCGCAGCTCTCTCCCCCACTGTCAAGAGTCACCAAAAAAAAACCAAAAACACTTTTTTGTTTTGTCCTTTGTTTTTGTTTTTGGCAAATGTTGAATACGAAACCCATATTCCTATACATGCTCTACTCCCATCCCCAAACTCTATTTTCTTGCCTTGACTAAAGTCCAGCTGTGTTTGATTTCAACAATGCAACTTACAAAACAGTACAGTGTAGGGATTGAATATGATTGTTTTGTTTTGTGTTCTGCTTATTTGTGTATTTGTGTGTGTGTGTGGGTTTTCCACTAAATAAATGCTTTGTACCTATAATGGAAAAAATTGCTTTCAGGTGATTTAAACTTCCTACCTGTTGTTGCTGTGATAAAACACTGTGACAACAGCAACTCAGGGGGAGAGGGGTGATTTCAGTTCCCAGTTGTAGGTTACAGTTCATCACAGAGAGAAGTCATGGTAGTGGGAACTCAAGCAGCTGGTCACGAGCAGGGAAAGTAGATGCCTCTACGCTTAGACTCAGCTCGCCTTCTCTTTTCTACTTCAGGGTCCAAACCCAGGGCATAGTGTTCCCTTTTGTAGGCTATAAGTCTTCAATATCAATTAATGTAATCAAGATAATCTTCCAGAGACAGGTCCATGAGAGCCAACTCATCCAGGCAGTTCGTCATGAAGGACTCATTTCTGAGGTAAGCCTGCATTGTGTCAAGCTGACAATTAAAGCCAATCATCATACTACCAGAGAGCAGGGAAACCCATTTACCAATTCCAAAATGCTCTAGACCTAGTTAATAACACCATGTGACTGGACAGTCCAACCATCACACTATCTGGTCCACAGCACAGTTCCTGGGGCCTCATTTTACAAAACACTCTGTTTGGGATGAAGAAGGCCAATAGTCTTTTCCTGAATCTGTACACAAACACCATCATGTGTGGCCTTGACAATTTTGTTGTCTGGCCCTCGTTTCCCTCATCTATACAACAAGAAGATGGGCCAAGGTGTGTCAACTTCCTTCTTTCTCAAGCATGCCAGATTTCTGTCTTATAACACACCTAAGATCTATGGCCAAGAAGAGATTCAAACCGAACAGTGGCCACACCAAACTTGGAGGCTAGAGCAGGTGCCCCTCACAAGTGCCCAATGCATTGTCCCACCTTGAATTCCTCGTGTATACGTTCCTCCAGGACTTTGGCAGCCTTGCGATCTTCCATCTCCACTTTCCACCTCTCTGCCAGGATCCGGGCTTTCTCATTGGCCAAGGCATCCCGGAACTTCTGGGTGATCTCTGCTTCCTTCTGTTTCCTTCCAAGAGATCAGCAGCATGGGTGAGCTTGAGTGAAAAACTAGAAGACCATATCACAATGCAACTTCAAGTCAAAGCAATGAGCAACCTTGCCTTAGTACACAGAACAGCAAACACAAAGATTAACATAACTCAAGATAACAAAGGAAGGGAGAGATAGGGACAGGAAGGTAAATCAATAGTACCATTCTGGAAGGTAAGAAACAAGACATGAAAATCCCATTTATCACTCAAGTGGCCAAAGCTTATATAGTAGCCAGCAGAGAAGTTTCAGGAAAAAAAATGAAAATCAATTCAGATGTCTATCAAAAATGTAAATAAGTTGAATTCCTGTGTAGTAATAGACTACCACATGAGAATCTTCAACAGCCTCAGGATTTGAACTGATGGGATCTATCAAGGTACAAATAAATATTTTTTTTATCTCTTAAATATTCTTCATGGTTAGCTTGGATGGTGGGTGTTCTTTAATTCAGTATAGTCTTTGTCTTGTTTACATTGTTACAACTTCACATCTAACACATCATCATTCTGACTTGATGGTGGAAGACACTAAAGAGACCAACTCATGGATTTCCAAGTTTGGCAAGGGGGGGAAATGTTAAAAGTTGTTGATGAAGACAGTCTGACTCCAAACTTTCCTGAGGGCTCAGCTGTCCTATGGTGAACACATAAATAATATGCAGAGGAACAACAGAGAGCCACATGAAGCACAATTGGTAGACCATCCCTGTGAGAAGTTCCCACAGTGGCTGGGGCTGTAGAGATGCTTCAATTGGTAAAATACTTACCATGTGAGCACAAGAAATGAATTCAGATCCCTAGAGCTCTCATATAAATCTGGATGCAATATAATCCCAACACTGGGGTGACAGAAACAGGAAATCCCTAAAATTCACTGGCCACCCAGTCTGGCTACATTGGTGAGCTACGGTTCCCTGAGAGACCCTGCCTCAAAAAATAGCATGGAGAGTGACAGAAGGAGACATCTGACATTTACACATCTCTGGCTTTTACACATACAAGCACACACAAACACAGGCACATGAGCACATGAGCAAGTACCACACACACACACAACATGCAGTCCATACCATCCAGGTAAATCCAAACTTCAGGCTACAGGAAGAGGTGTTAGGTCTTTAGGTCATATCATCAACGGAAGAAAACTGAGGTTCCAGATTAGCTATCTGGTGGGTCTAACACTTGAACTCAGAAGGTTTACTGAGGGGAGTCTCTGGTGCCTTAGTTAGTTGATCTTGACAGAGCTCAGCACAACTGAGAGCACCTCAGTTTTCCACCCACAGCTTAGATCTACCCAGGGCTCTAGGCTCATGCCCTTACCCAGTCCCCTCCCAGACAGCGCCTCTCACCAGAGCTCCTCAGCCTCTCTCTGTGCTTGCAGGCGTGCTCTCTCTGCAATCAGCTCCTCAGAGATCTCTTCATAGGGCTTGTCGCCAGGGCCTTCACCCATGACCCACACCCAGACCTCACCATCTGCTCCCAACAGCCACTGGATGTGCTTGTTGCTTGCTGCCTCACAGTGGAAGGAAGAAGAGAGAGAAAAGAAGAAACACATTGTTTCCAGTTACGGAACAGGCTGGACCAGAGCATCGCACACATTATCATAGCCATCACGCAACTTGACAGACCAGCAGTGTGGCTTGAGTCCAGATTCTGGTGCAGATTCAAGGCATTCCCTTACACCATCCCCTCTAAGGAGGAACATAACAGCCAAGCCAGCACCGGAGGCTAGCGTCAGAGATGAGCTCTAATGAGGTCCACATTGGCAAAAATATCCAGGGCTAGTGTGATGCTCGGTAAGAAACGACTTGTGCTGCTCCCAGGCTGAGGCAATCAGGTGTCAGCAAGTCTCCTCTGCCCTCGTTTGCCTAGCCAATGACTAGAAAGAAGGAATCAGAAATGGCAGCATTGCAAGATGAAGCAGCCTGGAGCCTCGTGTCCCTGTGATATACATCATGCTGTAATTTGAGGAAGAAATGAACCTTTGCTGGATGCGGCCACCGAGAGCCCTTGGTCTGCCAATAAAGGCAGGTTCCACTGATGTCTTGACGAGATCAGAGAGGTTCCTCAGTGACAGGGTTGCCACAGCAATAGAAACCCTGCATCCGGGTGGTGAGTGATATCTAGCAGGCCAAAGAGCTGGAGATCCATGCATACAGGAACAAACTGCTGGTAAAAATGCCGCAGACTCATTAGGGCTTAAAAGGCAGACCCTGTTTTCTGAGTTGGGGGGGGGATGAAGCAATAGTGGTGTGTATTGGATGCATTCGATATGGTGTTAAGAGAAAAAAAAACACCTAGAATTCAAGAAGGAATCAAGTGTTTTGCAGGGAGAAGTGAAAGAGAATGGAGAGAAAAGAGAAATTTGGGTTTCAAGTTGTAAGAGATGTACTGGCCGTGGTGGTGAATGTCTGTGATCTTCGTACTCTGCAGATTGAGGCAAAAGGATTATGAATTCTAGAGTAACTGGGCAATGTGTGTGTTTCTCTCACACACACAGAAAGAGAGAGAGAGAGAGAGAGAGAGAGAGAGAGAGAGAGAGAGAGAGAGAGAGAGAGAGAGAGACACAAAAGATTAAATTCTGAAGAGTTTTGCCTGACAGAGCTCAGTTAGCTGTCTCCGGGAATGAGATGCCCCGGGACACAAAGCACAGTGTGGCTGTGCTCATGGGCTCTCTAACTCCACTACAGCAGATGCCACTAAATGAAACCGCCAGCCTCCAGGACCTGGTGTTTGCTCACAGTTATTTCCCAGAGGCTGCCCCAGTCTCTGACTGACAGGCCAGGCTCATGACTGAGGCATCTGACTCCTGGCCAAAACTTCCTTGCATTACAGGGCTCTCTGCAACAAGGCCCCCAGCCTCTCTCTCTCCTTTCTTTACTCAAGGTCAAGGGAGAAAATTTTAAATATTTACTTATTTTAAATAGTGACAAACTCATTACATAATTGTACAAAATTGTTTTATAAAAAAACCAATATTTATAAGACAGCAGAATTATCATTAGGGCTACAATCACTGAGCCACTGCTCTCCAGGCTCCATTGTCTGCCTTTCTTCTGAATGCATACTTGATAGAACAATGATCAGAGTGAAAAGGCAAACTATGGGGAGAGAAAGGATTCTTGCAAACATACACCTCATTAAGAGCTAGCATCCAAATACATACGGAACTCACGCAACACAAAAATCAATAAAACAAATGATTCTGTTTTAAAATGGGCACAGGGCTTGAAGAGACACCTCTCCAAAGAATCCGTACAAATGGCCAGCTGTGAGAGAAAACATTCGGCCTCATTAATCATCAGAGAAGCTCAAGTCAAAGCACGGTGGGATATCACTCCACGCTTGTTGGAAGAGTGAGCAGCAAATATATAAAGCTAAAATGCTTGGCAGAAGGAGCTAGAGCAGTGTTCTCAACCTGTGGGTCGAGACCCCTTTGAGAAGGCCAAGCAACCCTTTCTCAGGGGTTGCATATCAATAACCTACATGCCCCATATTTACATTATGATTCATAACAGTAGCAAATTTACAGTTATGAAGTAGTAACAAATAATTTCATGGTTGGGGTCACTACAACATGAGGAACTGTGTTAAAGGGTCGGAGCATTAGGAAAATTGAGAACCACTGGGCTGGAGAGATGCTCAGCCATTACTTGTTACTCCTGTAGAGGACCTTAGTTCCATTCCCAGCACCCAGATGGCAGCTCATGACTATCTGGAACTCTAGTTCCAGGGGATCTAGCACCCTATTCTGCCCTAGTGGACACAGAATGCATGTGGGCGCAGATACACATGCAGGCAAAACACCCCCACACATAAAGCATTTTATTTATTTGGTTTTGTTGTTGTTTATTTTTCAAGACAGGGTTTTTCTGTGTAGTTCTGACTGTTCTCAGACTTGCTCTGTAAACCAGGCTGACCTTGAACACACTGAGATCTGCCTGCCTCTGTTTCCCAAGTGCTGATATTAAAGGCATGTGCCACCAGCGCCCAGAACTTTTTTTTTTTTTTAATAAAAGCTTGGGAGAGCATAGAGAGAAAGGGACATTTGTATCCTGGTGTAAGAATGTGAGTTAATGCAGCCATTGTAAAAAACAGTACAGAAATTTCTCTGAAAACCAGGACTAAAGGTGTCAACATGTACACACACACACACACACACACACACACACACACATATATGTATATAGCCAAAAGAAATTAAGTTGTTATGACAAAGATGTCTGCACAAGCATATTCATTATGGCACTGTGCACAACTGACATGGGGTCAATCTGTGTCCACCAAGAGTCATGAACACATGAAAACAATTTTAATAATTAAGGAATGAATAATGAAAATTTAATACCATATTACAGTAGAATATACTATTTGAGCCTCGAAAAGTAGGAATTCATATCATTTTCAACCATATAAGTGAACCTAGGAGGAGGGAAGACTGTGTAAAGTGAAAAAAGCCAGGCACAAAAATGCAAATATCATATGAACTCACACATATGTGGATGTAAAGTGGTTATCTGGTGTGGGAGGTCCTTCTTTCTATGTGTTGCTTTTATTGGTAAATGAATAAAGAAACTGCCTTGGCTTGTTGATAGGGCAGAACTTAGGAAGGCAGGGAATGCTCGGCTGAATGCTGGGAGGAAGAAGGGCAGAGTCAGACAGACACCATGTAGCCGCCAACCAGAGACAGACTCGGGAACTTTAGCCAGTAAGCCACAGCCACTTGGCAATATACAGATTCATAGAAATGGATTAAATTAATTTTAGAGTTAGCCAAAAAGAAGCTAAAGCTAATGGGCCAAGCAGTGATTTAATTAATACAGTTTCTTTTTTAATTTATTTATTTTTTTTAATTTATTAAAGATTTCTGTTTCTTCCCCACCTCCGCCT